CTTTTCAAAGGTCGAACTCCACCCTTTGTTTGGTTTTAAGTATGTGTGGAATGTTAAGGTAGGGTACACTGTTAGTGGTGGTCATACATGGAAGTAGTAGGGAGATAAAAATGCACTTAAGAAATAAACTCAGTATTTTTAAAGCATCCACATTTCTAGAATATTTTTATAGCAATTTTGGAGACGAGTATTAAAGTTTAAGAATTCCATTTGGTTTCTTTGTTACTTCTTCCTTATTAAAAATTATATTTATTTACTTCAGGAAAACTGTCTTAGACAAATCCAGAATGGTGACATTATTTGAATCTGATTTGGTAAACAATCTACTGGACAATTCTATTATTCAAGTGGTTAGTGCCTGAATAAACTTTCAATAATTATTATAGTGCTACTTGCTTGAATCAACATTCTCTTAAATGCCTCCCATGACAAACATGACTAGATGTCTAAAAAGATAAAATGCTAGAGAAAATAGAAGACTTCTGGTCAAAATGTTAAAGGGCCAACATTCTCCCTTTCAACTTCTAATGGCCTTCTGCTAAAATAACCACAAAGATAAAGAGGAGAAAGCACAAAAATCAAGAATCACAGCAAATGGAAAGTTAACGCCAACAGCCATGCTAATGGTGGAGACTGAAAAGAATTCATAGTACTTACTGAACAGATTGAACTGAATTGAGAAAAACCTCCCAGGAATCAGAATAACAAAAGAAAAGTGTGGACAGGCCCATGTGACTAGCATCTTGAGTGGTAATTTTCATTGAAGGCTGAACAGGCTTCAGAGGTTGCATAATACTGTTAGGGCTCTTCCCTTGTGTTCACTTGGATCCATTTGTAAGCACACATTCTTCATGTTTGGGGGTGTTTGGTCACTTTTTAAACAACAGTCATATTCTGAGTACTCTCAAAGGAAAAAGCAAGCTTTTGTCTCATATATTCAAGACCCTTAAGACTCAATTTACCCCATTGGGTCCCATGATCACCCTTGAACCACTCACTTTTCTAATGCAGTAGAGTGCTATAATTTGCCCAGATGAGAAGATCCATATCCTCTCCCACGGCAAGGGAGGCAGGCATTGTGATTGACGGTTATATCAGGAACAAAATGAAATCATAGGGAGGGAAACAAGTCATCAAAAGAAAATAATTCCTGAGTGGCTATGGTCAACATTGGTCTACTACATTAAGCTTCATATACTGCATTGCTTAGAATCAGATCCTGCTTCTGATTATCCCTATGCGTATCCCTTTCCTGCTATGTTATCTTGCTGCTATTACCAGAGCTAGAATCAAACAAAATATTTTAAATCATAGATGAGTAAGCAGAGAAAGATAGCTTCATTTTTGATGCAGATAATTTGAGTTGAATAGAAACAGGACTAAAGGGAAAGATGGTTAGTCCAGAAATAAATAGCAGAATATTCCTTAAGTAAGATAACCACCATGGTTTCCTGTGCTCAGAAAGAAATACTTGTTATCAGAATTTTAAACATTGGCATTACCAAAGAAATAGCTGTACCTTGATGTTCATTACAGCATTATACACAATAGTAAAGCCATGGAATCAACTTAAGGGCCCACCAATGGATGAATAAATAAAGAATATGTGGCATTTATATGCAAGGTAATATTATTCAGATTTATGAATGAATGAAATTCTGACATGTGCAATAATGTGATTGAACCTGGACGGCATAGTGCTAAGTGAAATATGCCCTCATGTACAGAGAGACAAACACCACATAATCTCACATGGAGTCCAAAAAAGTTGAACTTAGAAAAGCAGAGAATAGAATGATGGTTATCAGAAGATGGATGAAAATGTGAGTAGAGATAGCACAGAGGGAATATGAAGGTGTTGGTCAAAGTGTGCAAAATTTCAGACAGGAATAAGTTTTGATAGTCAATAACAATGTACTTTATATGTTAACAAATTTAAACTTAAAGGATAGGTAAATTAGGTGATGACTATGTTAGATTATTAGTCATTTCATGGTGTCTATACATAGGAAAACATGTTGTACCCCATAAATATATAAAATTATGATTTTTCAATTAAATCTTAAACTGGGTGAGTTAAACTATTAATAACATAGACACTAAGCAGAACTTTAAAAATACAGACGTCTGTGGTACTCCTTAAACTCCCTGTTTTCAACTTAATGTTGCAGCTTTGTGATTTTGGCCTCTGGAATTTTTTAGGGAAGGTGATTTTGTAGTGCTGTCATAACAAAGTACTACAACCTCGATGACTTGCATGACAAAAACATGTAGTTTGACAGTTCTGGAGCCTGGGAATTGAAAATCTAAGTGCTGGCAGGATTGGTTCCTTTAGAAGCGTGTGAGCAAGGGACTCAGCTAGGTCTCTGTAGTAGGCTGTGGATGATCATCCTATCCCAGTGTCTCTTGACATTGTATTCCTTTTGTGCATGTCCTGATATTTCCCTTTTGTAAGGACATTCTGGCTTAGGATCTATACTAACACCTCTATAAAGACTGTCTCAAAATAAGGTCACATTCTGAAATACAGTAAGATTCCAAAATGTTTTAAGGGCAGAGGGCATATAAGAAATGGCCTTACAATTTATCATCTGAACTAAAACATTTATATCTGTTTCAGAGACCTAGTGGGGCCAGAAGGAGAAAGGAAGGGATAGGTAGAGAGAGCATGGGAGTGAGAATAAGGCAGAATTGTTGTTCACTGGTTTTCTCTCCAAATGCCACAAGAGCCAGGGCTGGTTCATAGTAGGCACTAGAAGATGGGAACTCAATCCAGGTCTCCCACAGGCATAGTAGAGACCCATTTACTTTAATGCTCACTGCTGTTTCCCAGGGTCTACATCAGCAGGAAGCTGAAGTAAGGCTCTCTAATGTGGAATCCAGGGACCTTAACTATAAGGCTAAATGCCCATTTCTAAACTGAGATATTTGGTATTAATAATAATTACCCTGAAACACTAGGGTAACGTTAGCTTAACCAGGACTATCCACAATAAACCAAGGAGGTCCCAAGCCACTGAGAGTTTCTGTTTGCTTTCTTTGCCTTATGAGTTTATTATAGTTAGTTTTTTTCTTTATTTAGATATTTCTTGGGCCGGCACCGCAGCTCAATAAGCTAATCCTCTGCCTGTGGTGCCAGCACCCTGGGTTCTAGTCCCTGTCGGGGCGCCAGATTCTGTCCCGGTTGCTCCTCTTCCAGTCCAGCTCTCTGCTGTGGCCAGGGAGTGCAGTGGAGGATGGCCCAAGTCCTTGGGCCCTGCACCCGCATGGGAAACCAGGAGAGGCAACTGGCTCCAGGCTTCGGATCAGCGCGGTGTGCCAGCTGCAGCGGCCAATGGAGGGTGAACCAATGGAAAAGGAAGACCTTTCTGTCTTTCTCTCTCACTGTCCACACTGCCTGTCAATAAAAAAATAGATATTTCTTTTTTCCTTTTATTATTTGAGGTATATAAACTTCATGCATTTCCTAGTGATAATTTTTGCCCTACCCTCCACCCACACTTTGACCCTCTTCCTCCTCCCTCTCCTATTAAAATTCTTGCTTTATACAAAGATCTACTTTCAGTTAACTTTACACTCGTAATATAAACCCTATGCTGAAGAGTTGAACAAATAGTATAAAGAAAAAAATACTGTTCCTCAACAGTCAAGACAAGGGCTGTTCAAAATCATCACATATCATTTTTACTCCTATAGATTACCTTTTAGGTACTCTGTTAGTTACCACAGATCAGGGAAAGTATGGTGATTTTGGGGGGACTGCCTTATTTCACTAAGTATAATTGTCTCCAATTCCATCCATTTTGTTGCCAATGATAGGATTTCATTTTTTACCACTGTGTAGTATTCCATGGTGTACATACCATAACTTCTCTAGTCTTCAGCTGATGGACATCGGGGTTGATTTCATATCTTATCTATTGTGAATTGAGTTAAAATAAGCATGGGGGTGCAGATAACTCTTTCCTATGCTGAATTCATTTCCCTTGGGTAAATTCCCAGGAGTGGGATGACTGGGTCATATGGTAGGTCTGTATTCAGATTTCTGAGGTATCTCTGTACTTTCTTCTATAATGGCTGCACCAGTTTACAGTGGATTATGCTATCTTGTGCCCCACATCAATGCCAGTATTTTGTTGATTTCTGTATGAGTCATTCTAATTGAGTGAGGTAAAACCTCACTGTGGTTTTGATACACATTTCTCTGATGGCTATTGATCCTGAGCATTTTCTCATGTGTCTGTTGACAATTTCAATTCCATCTTGAAAAATACTTGTTTAACTCCTTAGCCCATTTCTTCACTGAATTGTTTTGTTGATGTTGAGTATGAACTCTTAGTAGATTCTGTAAAGCCCTTCAAGTCTTCTCCTTACTGAGGACCACTGATCAAACTACAGTGGTCTTCCTTTCCTAGGACTTGGTCCCTAGGACTTGAGCATGATTTGGACATCATCCCAGGAGTGGCTATGTGGGACATGACAGCAGTTACTCTTCATGCACTTCTTGGCTGCACTCAGTCCCCCTCAGGTCTGTTATTCAGGAAGGGCTGGAGAACAGGAGCAGGTTTCAACTGCTTCCAAACTGCTTGAACTATACCGTAGACTGTAAGTCAATTAGCTGGCTCTGATGTCATGGACCAGGCTATAGTGTTGATAAATTTTGCACAGCCTGAAACAAGCCCGGAGTTGGTCACCTGAAAGGGAAGAAACCCTTGCTGTTCTTGGGTTACATCTAAGGGTGTTTCTAGGGACAGTTCTAGGCATTTACCAAACTGTCACTCACTGAAATACTGATTTTGTGCCTACTATAGCATAGGTTTTGTGTGAAATACCAGTGATCTAGCAAATAACAGGGTGGACATAACTCCTAACCTTGTCCGAAGAACTTTTTGTTGACTAAGAATTAGGCAAAAATGAAAAGGTAAAAACATCCATCTTTCTTCACAAAAAAAAACAAAAAAAAAACAAAAAAAAAAACAAAAACAAACAAACAAAAAAAAAACCATGTCCAGGCTATAAAACTGTCTTGATACCTTGTTTTACATGGATTTACATACTCAGAGTCACACTACATACACACACACACACACACACACACACTCTTTTTTTATAAAGGGGTAGGGCAACAACTAAAGGTGAGAAGGAGAGCAATCTATTGAATTTTCAAGACAGGAAGGACAACTCATAAAGGCTGAAACCAGGCTCCCTCTTGGTGCTGTTAGTGCCATTTGGGAGAAGAACCTTTCCCCAGGTAGGTCAAAGTGTTACAAACTGACCTGACCTTCTGGCACAGTTGCTTCAGAACAGTGTTGTATGGCACAGAAGGAAACCTGTGTGTTACTTGCTGTGATCTCATTCGTCCTATGGCCAGCCAAGTCAGCCTTCCTTATGGTAGAAGGTAGTGATAGCTTTTTCTCTGTATTTACCTTGACACATTTTTTTCCCTGTCAAGTTGTGAGAATTTTTCCTTTTAAAAATTAAAAAAAAAAAATTTTAATTTTTTGTCTTGCCTCTACTTGGACTAGGCTAGACTTCCTCTCTATTGAGGGAAGAAACTGACCCTCAATATTTACTCTTTTCCCTCCAGTTTATTATAAAATAAGTGTGTTTGTTTGTTTGTTTGTTTGTTTATTTATTTATTTTGACAGGCAGAGTGGACAGTGAGAGAGAGAGACAGAGAGAAAGGTCTTCCTTTGCCGTTGGTTCACCCTCCAATGGCCGCCGCAGTCCGCGTGCTGTGGCCGGCACACCGCGCTGATCCGATGGCAGGAGCCAGGTGCTTCTCCTGGTCTCCCATGTGGGTGCAGGGCCCAAGGACTTGGGCCATCCTCCACTGCACTCCTGGGCCACAGCAGAGAGCTGGCCTGGAAGAGGGGCAACCGGGACAGAATCCGGCTCCCCGACTGGGACTAGAACCCAGTGTGCTGGCGCCGCAAGGCGGAGGATTAGCCTGTTGAGCCATGGCACCGGCCAAGTGTGTTTCTTATAATAGTGTTCATTTTGTGCAGAATCTTTCTTTGTAAGGTCTTACAATGGTGATTTTACTGCCCACAGGATGACATGAGCAGAATCAGCGTGCCCACACAAATAAATCTTATAGCTGCTACAGACTGAATTGTGTCTCCCCTCCCAATTCATATGTTGAAACTCTAACCCATAATATGATGAGGCCTTTATGACATAAAGTTCCATGAAGTCATAAAGGTGGTAAGCCTTGTAAGAGGAAGCGTGTCCTCTCTCCCTCTCTACCTCTTCCTGTCTCCCTCCCTTCCTGCCCTTCTCCTTTGATCCCTCCTACCTCATGTGAGCAAATAGAAAAAGGTCTTCAAGCCTTCCAGGACAAGAGTCCTCAGAATGAATCCTACCCTGCTGGCACCTTCACCTTGGACTTCTCAGTCTCTAGAACGGTAAGAAAAGAGATTCTGTTGTTTAAGCTACTAGGTCTATGGTATTCTGTTGCAGCAGCCTAAGAACCTACAACAGGATTATGTGGGACACAGCTGAATCCTCAAAGTAGGGTCTCTGTAGGGCAGAGCTGTAACCAGCTGTGCTCAGTGCACAGGCAGGAAAAACCGACCTCAGGAGACTTCTTGGAGATTCAAATAGATTCTCTAGGTTTCCAGCCTTTGGATGAAATAATCTCTTCCCAGGGAAAAATTGCTTTCAAAGACTAGGTGATTTTTAGAATTTTTTCCCTGTGGCACTTCTCTGCCACCATAACTCAATATATTCTGTGAGACTGAGAATTTACTGATACTCTTGATGATATTATTTGAACTTCTCCTGTGTTATAAAAAATTTACATTGGCATTTACAGGTAGGTATTTGTCTGAAGACTGCCTCTGGTCAATCTGGTGCAATGTAAGGGGATGGATAAGGACAGGCACTGAGTAAGGTATTCCTGGGTGGCAATCCTGGATCCATTACTTGCTAGCCTTTGTAGAATTGATTATGCCATTAGCTTCTCTGAGTTTTAGATTCCTCATCTATATAACGTGGATAGTTGTTGGCTAGCATGAGGGCTGAAGAAGATAATGAAATGATGTATCACAGATCCAGGCACAAATTTGATTCGGGAAATGGTAGCCAGTGCAGTTAGTGTGTGTCTTGACAACTCTTGCTTCCTTGTCTATCTGAGAGAAACACCCCCTTCTTTTTCATCTTGGATTTGTAAACAATCTGTTTTTTTTTTTTTTTTTTCAAATGCTTAATTTGGCCAGGCTTAGTTTTCTCTCTGACTTGCATATAAGCATCATTTTGGCCCGTTTGAGGGAATTTGAAACCTAGAGAAGCCAAACAGAAAATCTCAGACATCAACATTTGTTCTCAGCCTGGAGCAGACTCTCTGTACTCCTAAAGTTTCTTTGATTTTTCATTATTTTTCCACAAAACCCAATACTTTGTATGTTTTGTACTTTTTCTTTGCTGTCTAATCTGTCATGTCTTTACATAAAAATCCTGTATTTTAATCTCATTTGTGAATATTCTTTTTTTTGATGGCTAAATTTGTAGTTTAATTACAGAGCAAAGATTTGAATTCGCAAAATCATTTTATCAATCCTACAGTCTTATTCTTGCTTCTACTTTTTCCAAAGATAGGAGATTTTGTGTGTGTGTATGTGTGAATATTCTTAACCATACATTTTGCTAATGTGATTAAAATAAACAGTATTTTATTGTTGTCTGACAGTTGATCTTGGAGAAAGCATGTAAAATTTTATTTATTTAATTTTCTACCATATTATTTATCTAGCATGACTAGAAACTGAAATGTTCTATACATCCCATAAACCTTTATTTTCAAATACTCAATTCTTTTTGTTTCAAGTTACTTTTTAGACATATTGTTGGAAACATCCCTAAAACTTAATTCATCTTACCCTGTTCCTTTATACAGTACATTTTAAAGACTTTAGCGTTGCCTTTATGACTGTAGTTTTCCATTACAAAAATCAAATATTCTAATGAGGTAAAGCTTTCGTGGTTGTTTCAGAAGGCTGTCCTCTTTATACAGTCATGAAAATCTATTCATTTAATTATCATTGCCTTTATTTCTGTTTCATTTCAGGTTAGCAATTTTTAAGGGGAGGCTTGCTGAGCAAACATGAGAAAAAAAATACACTACCTGTTAAAACCAAACGAGGAGAGGTTGAGCTCGAGTACTCATTGATTCTCTGTCCCCAGATGTCATAATGGAATCGAGTAAATATGGAGCCTTTCTGAGGCGTGGCAAGGCGTGGGGGTGGATCCTGGGAAGTAGCAGGGAAAAGAAGCTAGAAGCTTGCCCTACTTGTATGAGTTTACTCGTATGTTGGTTACCACTGAATCAGGTTAGGGTTAGGGTTTCTGCTCCTTTGTGTCAAAACACTTCTGGCAGATGTATTACATGATAAATTGAATGGGATTTATGATATGTATATATATATATATACACACACACACATATAAAATCTTCTTGTAAAGATCACTTTTTAATCTCATCAATCATTTAATCATTGGAGATTGACTGTAAGTGCTGTGCTGTGGTAACATAAAGAACATTTATTTAATTTTGTATATCCAGAACCTTTTTAGAATTTAAATATAAGCTATCCATGTAAATACTCAACAATAGTAAGACATATTGGATTACTTTGTGAATAACCAATATTGTTATTTACTCAGTTATGTAAGAATAGCTTTTACTTTTATGTTGCACTTACTGATAATTCCCAAGAAAGAGTTAAAACAGAATATTTATCCAAATAACTCTTAAATGCCAACTTTTATAAATTTATGTGAAACAAGATACATATGTATATACAAAGAAACACAAATTGAGATTTGCTTTGGATATAAATGGTCAATAGAAAAAGTTTCAGAAAATGAATAGGGCAGTGATTGCATAAGCTGTTTGAATCTGACTTGGTACAGGTCCAATTTTGAATATTTCAAGAAACCTATAAAATGTTAATCTCACCTAAAATTAACCTTAAGTTTCATCTCAGAATAGTAGAAGACCATTGAGAAAAAGAAATTGATGTGTAAAGCACTCTGAAATATTCATGAGAAGAAAGTGGGTTACTCTTTCAAATAGGTAGGCAGTTTTCCCATCTGTAAGTCCACTGATGTTCAAAATTTTATTTTAAGCACTTAAATGTATGACTTTGATCCTTGCTAAAATACATATGCTCCTTGGAAGGATTAATATACTCTGGTGTGAGTAAAAAGTTTCCAATATTCTTTTAGTTTGAGTTGATCTGGTTGAAAGAGAGATCATGAAGTACTGGCCTCCACTGAAAAGCAAAGAGTTAAGAAATGAGGATATTGGAAGTCAAAGATATATCCTACGTACTATTTTCTGTTTTAGAAAAACAATAGTAATAGACTTCTGGCAGCCACTGTGTACAGATCTGAAAGGCTGTGAAATTTTGCCCAAGATTGGAAAGACTGCCAATGGAGTGAGAAATTGGAAAAGCCAGTTGGGGTTTCCAAAACAAAAATATAATGGAAAAAAAAAAAGGAATGTTACATGATACTTTAGGAAGAATGCCTACATCTAATTTTGCCATATATTGCAAATTTAAAGTTCTGGAAGTTTTGGAAGATTTTGGGGGTAATCACTTACCAGTAGCTTGTTAAAAGTCATTAAAGAGTAAAACACAGGGAGCTGGTGCTGTGGCACAGTGGGTTAAGGTGCAGCCTGCAGGGCCAGCATGCCATATAAGTGCAGATTTGAGTCCCAGCTGCTCCATTTCTGATCCAGCTCCCTGCTAATAAACTTGGGAAAGCAGCAGAGGATGGCCCCAGTCTCTGGGCCCCTGCACCCATGTGGGAGATCTGAAAGAAGCTTCTGGCTCCTGAAACAGTCCTGGCTGTTGCAACCATTGTGGAGTTTCAAATGATGAGCCGAGATGCTGGTTCCTTCACCAAATCATCAAAAGAGCACCGGTCAGATAGCTCCAGCCAGCATATTTTATTATTTAGTCTAGGGTTCAACTAGTAACGTAACAATCGGGAATGTATAGCCAGACTAATCATTGTAAAAGAATAACAAGCAGGCACAGGCAAGTGAGGTAAGCATTGCGTGACATATTTATGGTGAAAAGCAAAAGTTCAAGGTGCTCCTGGCGGTCATGTTGTTCCTAGCTCATCTTCTATGCCCTTAAAGTATGATAAGGAGTTTTCCTTCAAGCAGAACCTAATAATAACCCAATAACCTCTGCTTACTGCAGCCGCATTCCATGTAGGAAGGTATGCCTTTGCAAGGCCTGCTCAGGCAGAAGCAGGACCATAGCCGTGTCCAATATTCAGGAGGCCGTGGCCTCACTGTGAACGCTTAGGCGATATCCACTACAGTGGGTGAAACAGCAGGTGGAAGATCTGCGTCTGTTCCTTAATCTGTGTAGCTCTTCCTTTGAAATAAATCTTTTTTTTTTAAATTAAATGGAAGATCTGAGGGATAGGTTGATAGTCGACAGAGAATAGATCCAGTTTATTCCTGACTCAAGGCAGAGAGTTTTCCGTTTTCCAGTGCCGGAGGACAATTGCTGTAGCTTAGGACCACCATTTACTCAGAATGATCTTTCCTGTAACTGTGCTATTATTTATAACCTTACGAAGAACATGCTTGCTGACATTTCTTCGCATGCATGCCCACCACTTTAAATTGAATACCTGGAAGGCAATGTAATGGGCTAACGTCATGGAAGTTTAAAATTTTTTTGATATATATGCTCCAATTGCCCTCCAGCTAGTATGTACCAATTTTCTCACTTAACCAGTAGTGCTCCCAGTAAGGTTTTTGTATGTGCTCTGAAGAGCTTCACTTGCTGGAGCATATATTTTCTAAATATCTACCAGTGGATAAGTAGTCATTCTGATACTGTGACAAGTAGTAGTCACCAGCTGATAAAAATGTAGTTATTATCTTGATTTGCATTGTTGCAAGTTTGTGATAAATCATAAAAAGATATTAGAGGCACTGTCAAGAGAAACTTAAGTCAACACAGGATCTCTCCTTGAATATAGTTGTGCCTGGGATAATAGAATACCAGCGTGCTTCGTTGAGCACATCACATTGGAACTGGATTTGCGTAGCTCAGCAACACAAAGCATCAAGTGTCATTATTAACCATTTAATCAGTTTTATTGCCTAAACATTTTTTGAATTTCTCTTCATCTCCCTGCAGCATGCATTTAGGCTCCCACTTTATCTCGCCTACACCATAGCTGTGGGTTGCATAACTCATTTTGAATGCACTTTTGCACTCTCAATCTGATTTCAATCCTGAAGCTAGAGTGAAATGTAAACTGGATTGTGTCAACCATCTGCTTAATGAAAATACAACAAGAATTACTGTTCTTAAAATGAAAACAGTCTTTAACACTGACTTCAAGTCTGCATGTGATTTGATGCTATTTTACT